TTGTAAGCGAAAGTACCATTTTGCTATGACAGAAATGGAGGAATTAGTAATGTGCCATTTATACAGCATATACTTCATGATTATATCTGCAATTGCGAAATACACGAGTTTCATTCAGTTAGGTGTTCTATATGTCTTTTTCAGAATTATTATATTGTATTAATAGTTATAAAATGCTATTTTTAATTAAGCTATTTAAACGATACTAGTATATATAATTTTTATTTAAATTTGAGCACGATTTTCAAAGACACAAAGATAAAATATTTGATCTATTTTGCTTAACACATTTCTATAAATATATTTAAGAAAGTACAATTCTGAAAGAAAACAGAAAATCATCTTTCCTTCTCCGGGCTTAATCAACTCGCCCCTCAAGAGTTTAATGAAGAAAATAAATAAATAAACTATAACGGCAAAGGACGATTAATCGTGGTTATAAAACAAAGCACAATTTTACGATGACAAAAGAGAGGTATAATTAGTAATTCCAAAGGAGCTTAATTTCTCCGAATGAAAGTTTCGCACGAGTCGCTGTAGCTACTCGTGTGAAAACTTTCCAGGCAGTGAAAGTTCGCCGCTCAGCAATTTCGCGTTCGAGAAATTGATTGGAATATCTCGAGACTTGCAGATTGAAACAGAGAAGTTTCATCAATGTTGAAGGGAAAAGGACAGATCGTAAAACTTCTCCAACTTTCAATTATGGAAAAAACACGGTTAAGAATCGGGCGGTCAGAATTCGTTTTCCTTCCCGAGAGTAAGATTAAAAAATCATTCCTCGTTGGCTACCGCTCCTCTCCGATCTCTGTTTTGTTTCTGCTTTATATCAGGAAGGAAGCATTGAGCTTGAAATGCTCGAGCTCGAGATGCAACTTCCTTGTAAAGGACCGTCTTTGAAGTTGAAATTTCCGAAGTTGTGCCAGAGAGAAACGTGGTCGAACTTGTTGCAAATATTAGGGGCGAAAGCGAACGTAGATAATAACCGTTTCTGTAACGATAAAGAGGTTCATCGTTTCGGAGAAATTCTCTTTCTCCCTGTTCGAGACGCGTATAAAGAAGTATAAATTAAAATGACTCCGTCTAAACCTGCTTTACTTCATCGGCTATAACCAATTAAACACGGTCTTCATCACCTGCTGCGTTTGATTGTTTAAAAATGTAAATAACCTTGCTTTCCGTACCGCGACAAGGCGCAAATTACGAAAAACGGAAGACGAGGAGAATAATTAAGGCGAGCGAAGAAAATCACTGAAAAATGTTGAATAGAAGATAAAGAAAGTCTTGAGGGCGATGCGTGATTCACAAAACTGCTTCGATTCTTTTGGAAAATTCTCAACCTTTGTATCTAGAAGCGGTCGGAAGATTTGTCTATATGGAAATCAAAGGTGAATCACGCTGGCTGACGCTACTACAACCACCGCGTCAAAGCCTCTTTTGTTCTCCCGTATGAAAAGTCGTTGAAATAGTCACCAGACGAAGTGGAAGTACACGTACAATTTCGGATCGACACGGTAAAGTTGCTTTTGAAATGGCTGGGTAGATACGACGGGATTGTTTCTGTGGTGCAAAGTCCGTTTCAAAGATCTCTCTTGCGTTTGGACATGTCGTTAGTTAAGCTTTCCAGTTCTCCATTTGATCTTAAAATTCAGATATTGAAATTTGTAATTTTAATTTCTCATTCTAATTAGATTGTTAACTTAGATGAAAATGAGTTTAAGACATAAAATGAGAGGAGAGGAAAGAGTCGACGATCGTCTAAAAGAAACTTCGCTTTCTTTCCGGGTAGACTTTGATCCGACGTTTTTCAAAAATTAATTAAGTTTCGGACTTTAGAATTTTTAATCCCACTGATTTAATTAATTATTTTTAATTTAGATGAAAATATGCTTAAGATGCAGAATAACGGAAAGGGATGGCTATCATTTGAGGAGGAGTTAGGGTTCCAAAGTTTTCATATCAAAGTTAATATATAAAATAAATATTTTTAATAGGAATAGAGATAGATGTGGCGGGTAGAATGTGAAAGAAGTCGAAAATCGTTCGAGGAAGGAACAATTTAGAAGCTTTAGAAGAGAGGAAAGAAACAGCTTGGGATATTCTCAAGGAATTTCATACTTTTGACAGTAATTGAAATGTATTTCCCGGTTACGGGGGAAAATATGGGTGGATTTTTTCCTGGACGTTCAGGTTCGCCCGATAATGCCACGGTATCTCAACGGTAACGGATGCGAAATTCTCGCCGCACCAACTTTCCTGCGATTTTCTCCTTTCCTTCATCGTTTCCACGGAATTTATGCGAGACGCAAAACTTTCCGCTGACGGTAGGTATACTTTGCCTTGGTGTTCTTGAAAATGACGAGTTACTTTTCTTGAAAATAAGTAAAAAAAAAAAAAAAAAAGGAAAGAGGAAGAAATAGACGAATTAAAAACGATCGAAATTATCCCTATACGTTGAATTATAAACTAATACATAGGAAAATGTTTGCTCTTTGCCACTGATAGTCACCCTCCTAATTTAGGAGGTACACACTTGCTTGAGTCAGAAGTAAATTATCGTCTAGGTATTACAACGATTTAAACCGTATTAAGACCCTGAGATGTGTTTGAAGTCGGTTGGGAAACTTCTTGGAAGTTTATGTTTCACATCTTAAAATAATCCAGCCACATTTCTCCCTATAATCCTCTATCCGGAGAACGGAACAAACTCCATGAGTAAACTCATCTGATCCCGAGGAAATTTGTGTTCTTTCGTAACTGTAATTGGATCCGTAACATTCAATACTATAGAAACGAGGAATTTAATCAAATCACAATTCCATCTTGCGCTATAATACAATAAAAATAGCAACGTTGATTTTTTCCACACAGCTTCACTGTACCAGCTGGGAAGTAATCAATCGTCGCGAATTTCTTTTCCGTGGTAGATCGATCGCATCTATCGAGTTTCATTTCACATCTCTTTCGAGTTTTCCTGGTGCCTTTTCCCGTCTGCGTCTCCAACTAAGTTCAGATAGTTCACGAGAGGTGCTTGATAAATTTTCTTCAGCAGTTTATAATAAGGCAGCTCATTCTGCACTTTCCCCCTCTCCCCTTTGCTCGTCTATCATCCTCCTCTTACTCGCGTTTCGTGCTAGTCAACCGTCGACCCTGTCTACTTCTTTTTCTTCTTCGTTTCCAAGACCTTCATCTCGACCCTTTTAGAAGTAAACTCGCTCCAAATTGCCCCTAGAAATCTCATTTCCACTCCGATACCTCCCTCCTGGAAACCGATTCTTGCCGAAAAAAGAATTACACAAAGTTACAAACGGACACGAACCTCGTACCCTCTATGTCGTAGCGATGCCGTGTGCCCGAGTGACACGAGCAGCATGAGGAGGTCTGCGAACTCCTGCAGGTGAAAAAGAAGAGACAAGGGTCTGAGAGTGTTAGCACGCAAATGAATGTGGATCAGAGAGGATTGCAAGGACGGGCTTCTTCTTTTTTTTCTATCACTACCTTCGAGATCATTTTCTCGATAGGGGTGACGTTCTGGAAAATTGTAGTTTACCTAGCCTGATCCGTTCTAGGTTCTTTCATCGGTTCGCGTTTATTGAATGAGCGTCAGAACGGTTCAGTACTCTCGCTATATTTTCTAATTCGTTTCCTTAAACCAAACCTACATCCAAACCTTCATCCGAGATTAGGTTTATGGTTATGGTTAAGGTGTTGGGGTCAATGTTTGGATGAAGGTTTGGGTGATGGTTTAGACTAGAGTAAAAGAAAAAGCATCCTCTATTTTTGGTGTTTCTTCAAGCCTACAAATTTTCACTCAACTCGAAGACACAACGATCACGATCTTTTCTAATTAACAGCGAGGAGCGATGGAGCTTGGCTATTTTAATTTAGGTAAAACAACTTCTTCTATTGAATTTTAAAAGAGCAATTCTGTATTTCTATTTTATCGTTGAACATGATATTGTTTGGTTTATTTCACTCATTAAATGGAATAATATATAATTATAATTATATATATAACTATATAATACTATAACTAATAATAATATATATATATAACTTGCGAGACAATTTAATTCAGATTCAGTGATTTTGGGGCACATTTTTCGATATTAATCTGATAAAACTAAGTTTGGAGTAGCTATAAAACGAGCAACGCGAGGGAAAATAATGGGATTTTTCGGGCGAATTTTGCACTAAGGCAGGAAGTTTGCACGCAATTAAGCCGTAGTCAGGCGCGTCAAATTGAATGTTGCTCGATTAATTTTCGTTGGTAAAATATTCGCCGGCGACTCCGCATTGCTCTGTCTCAAGATGAAATTTAATTATGCGAGTTAGCTTCACTCGGCCACACCGCGTTCCCGACGTTTTTTTCACACTAATAGGCTTATTAGTTTGTTATTCGTAGCTCGACGCCGCTACCTGAGAAGTTTCATGCGACCACCACGGACAACTTTAATTGGGTATCACTTCATTCCACATGTGCACCTTTTTTCTCCACCGAATGAAATAACTTGTTATTCCATCGCGCACCCGTGCCACATAAACAGTTCCTGTCTTACGCTTTTATTGCCACTTGTTATTTACGAAAATCAACAACACATCAAACAAACCACATCAGAAAAAAAGGTCATACTATATGTTAAATTGATATATTTTAGAAAATTGATTTCCTATATTCTCTAAAAAATTGTTAAATCTCTTTATGCTGTAAAAATCGCAAAAATATCGTGACTGCATTATGGAATAAAAATTGCCTGGTCCACTAAAAGACGTAGACCATAGCGTTCGTCTTAAGAACGGGTTAATTAGGTAAAGAATAGAGGAGCGATAATGTTCGAGTGTGTGCCGTTTCATGAGTGAGTAAAGAGTCATTGAAAATAAGGCTGCGTTTAGAAAACCATTGGCAATGCCGCGCCCCTGCTTTCCACTTAACCTTAAAACACGAAATTCTCGTTTACTGTTCGCCACGGAGATTGATAAGCGTTATTTTGATCTTTTGTAGGAAGTAGCTGAACACCCGTGGGACAACGCGATTCAGGGTGGAAACAGAAGGCAGAGTGAGGCAAATTCAGAACGACGGGGGAGTGTGACTGAATAATCGTGGAAACTTAAAGAGAAATTCTGGGTCAAGGTGAGTTTCTTTCCATCTCGAATAACGAAATTTTATTCTTCCGTCTGGGACTCACGGTACTAGCCTCTCGCAAACTCATTATTATAGTACTGTACCTTTATAATTTGTGTAAGGGTGGAAATTAATTGCCAAAGAAATTCCTTTCTTTAGAGTATTTCATATTTAATTCTAACTCGACTTCGCTTTAACATATTATCGTTTATAGTACAAAAAAAAAAAAAAAAATATATATATATATATATATTCTGCCAGAGTTCAGTTTTACTTAATCGGAACAAGATCTTCATCAGTACTTACAAATTACGATGCTTCTGGTACAATTAGCAGTACCATTTTCTACGACTACGCCATTAGTCGAAGTTCTGTTGGAGATTTCTTCTAACTTCACTTGAGAAGGATGCTCGAGAAGAACAGAAACTTGCGAATAAATTTTGATTGCCAGTTACGAGTGAAAGCGGGCAAGGAGGCTGACGGTGATGATTGTCTCTGTTGCTAATTAATTTCGACTCGCCGATTTCTCAAGAAAGTTTGAACGAGGTCCGGCGTAACTTCTCACGGGACGTAACCTTAAATGAGGTAGAGAAAACACTGGTGTATAGGGGAAGAGTAGAAGAGGATAGTCGGGGCTAGGAGAGCGTGGAAATCCTAGAAAGCCTCGGGGTCAGATAGCACGCTGGCGACGGCATTTGAACTTTGTCTAAGCAGAAACAGAGTCGTTTCCGAGTTAGCTCGGATTAATTCTGAAAGTTCCATGAGGTAACCCTCGAAGGGTTGAAGTACGGGTGTCGAGCTTCCGCTCACGGGATCTCAGGGGGATGGTTATTAAATTTTGATACTCCGGATTCCTGACTTTCCCTCCTGACAAACTTGCGTCGTTTTCTACGCTACACTACCAATACTGTTGTGAAACATTCGGAATAATTTCGGCTGTCGAAAGTTTCTTAGTACGAACGAAGAGAAGTTTTGCCCGTAGCGCTAGCAAATTCTAAATGAAAGTTTTCGTTTCAAATTTCAAATGTTCCAACTTACGAATTTTCAAATTGCGAATAGCCCAATTTTTAGATATTCAAATTAAAAGTCGTAAATTAAAATTGCCGAATTTCAAGTATAACAATTTTCTCAACAAGGTTTCTAAACATTTGTATTTCCAATAATAGTCACGATAGTACGGGTAAGAGAGTAGAGTAGGAAGTAACATTATCGGCGATGAAATTTGTTCTAGCAATTGTGAAGGATTTTTTCTTACTGATTATAGCTGCTAGCTCTGAAGGATTTGTAGACAAGAAACGAGCAGATGCTAAAGTTCCCTAGAATCGTTGGGATAGTACGTCATACAAACATGTCGGTATATGCACGCGAGTTGAGGTGGGGCGAAATTTCAGACCTGAAGATTTCGTTGAACTAATACCCGTGGGGCAAGAAATTGCAAACAAGATCTTCTCGTCGCCACCTCAAATTAATCCTTCGCGTGCAACAGATGAGACTTTGCTGTATGTGGCTCCTTGCTCATCTTTCAAGTTGCATCTCGATAATGATCGACCAAACAAATTGGTAAAACGATTTGAATATTTCGATATAGATTTTTATTAATCTTTGGGAAATTCTTTCTAACGTTTTAGTAATTTTTTTACATTATATATCCATCAAACCTAAAATGAAAATTACAAAGTTTTCCAAAACACTGCATTCCTAATCCTGATATGTAGGCTGCCGTTTCTTCAAAAAGAACTTCACAAATGCTCGTACTTTATTTCACGAGCGTTTCTCAATTTTCAAGGAGAATTTGAAGCATAAATTTAGAAATTGCTCGGTGAAATGCATTGGTTTCAGAAACACGAGAAAGGATTTCCAGACGGAGAAAAACGCTTCGAATTTCTTCCAAGCGATTCTGTCAATATTATATGGTCCGCTGAATTCCGACCTGTTTAATGAGATCATTTCCGTTTCTTTCTTCTTTATTCCAGTTTCCGCGTGTACCTGTTTTATCACTTTACCAGCGAGGAGAACATTCTCACCTTTCCACATTATTTCTTTGAAAACTCAATAACTATACGTAATTGCTTTCTGTCGTTTGCGTCTTCGCTCATTCTGGCAATAAAATACTTCGTTCTCCGCCTTGTCACGAACACGGCTGCGTTTTCTGTAAAACGACAACAAGTCGATACAAGAATCATTTCTCCGCGACGTGAGTCTTGTTTCGTTCGAATTTCAGGATTTCATTTAATTTCCTTGCCTCCTATCTGTCATATCAAACTGTCGTTTCGATCCTCCGATTGCGCAGAATAAGCTTGGTTTTCCTGTCAAAGTGGAAATCACTTTGAATCGCCCTGCTTAGGAAATCAATGAATTCTCATACTAGTTATAACATTATTTTTAAGGCAACTTCCATCTTTGCAACATTCATAATATCTACCGTTATATGATTTTGTTAAAAAATTATCTCAGAAGCTCATAAAAAATCTCTATATTCCCTCCAATATTTTATCAAATCCTCTTTTACCTTAATCCACAATAATTCAGAACATAACCACTTTTTCTGGACCAAATGAATGTCGTTAGAAGCAGTGCCACCCTTCCGTAAAATGCTCTGTATCTTGTCCCGAAGCGTCTTCCGGTTCTCGAGATATCGTCGTTCAAAGCGAGACTTAATTTGTCGCACTTCTCGTACCTGACACTCGCACGACATCACAAACCTGCCTCAAATTCGTATCCCATTGCGTGCACTGGTCAGCGGTAAATGCTGACGCAACAGTTTTTTTTACTGTTGCTGGAAAAAAAAAAATAGGTCACGGTGCATCCAAGAATTCAGCGCTTGTACGCTTGCACTTTGAAGCTCCGTATCTCGGCAACCATTTGAGATATCGGCATGAAGTAAACCGCGTTTTAAAGGCCGTGCATCCTAAAAATATATTCATAAGAAAATTCGTAGTTTTCCCGGGTGTAGTTTGCCTCAAAGAATATCATTACCTTTACGTTTGAACGCTATTAAGCGGTTCTGAATAAATTATAGTTGTGTTAAAGGCTTCGACTGTATGATTCGTGACACTTTTCAGATTTTGCATGTTTTTGTGGTCTTCGATAGACGATACTCGGATGATGTGTCACCTAATAGTTATTTGTCGGATTTGGACAATGCATTTTAATTTCTTGATATTATTTTTGTATTTATAGTTCTTTATTATTATTATTATTATTATTACTAAAGAGTTTCGGTGTCCCTTTCAGGGCAAAAACGTGCCAAGGTTTAATAAGAGAAGATACGAATGGAAGGTTTTGGAAAATTTCGAAACACACAATCTGAGGTAGTTTTTCACAGTGCCGAATCGACAACTTTGGAGAAATTTGCTCTTCGGGTATATTAATCGATAGATACGTACGAATCTTTGCAAAGACAGAATGCTGCTGAAAAATTCACGAGTACTGACAGTTTGCACTAATCCTGTTTAAATGCGTAGCAATGTTACGACGAGGATCGTGAAAGAGAGTCGGGATTTTCCGATACAGTTTTATTTTTGTCGCTGGTAGGTCGAACGAAAATCTTGTTTCTCGTCGTTGGTTCGCATAGCGTTCTCGACAGCGTAGCGTCGTTAAAACGACGTTAGAGACCTCACCTATGGGATATACGCAGTTATTCGCTCCCCCCCGGGAAATTGCTTGTGAAAGCTTGCCGTACATAAAACCCTTTCCAGCTAGCGAGCGGCGCGGAATAAATTTTTTTTCGAAAAGCTGTTGCGGCGATACTTACTCTCGATGTCCCCGTAGAACGATGCGGGCCGATTGATCGCAACAGAGTTTTCCATCGGACACAAAAAACGCTCTGTTCTGCCTGCCTTGCTTCTCTTTCCATTTCCTTCGCAAAATAACAGGACAAATCAGATAACGAACCGGGAATAGCCAATCGGATTTTCAAACGGGACACAATCCAGCTTGATATTGGAAAGCTCATCGTACAGAGTTCAATGAAATTATTCGACGCTAACACGTTGCTTTCTAACTTGATTTCCAGCAAATTTCCTGCCGCATTCATTCGGCGTTTCCCCGGGATTCATGTAATCTGTTCATGAAGAAACTTGCTCGCGAACAGGATTCCAAGAAAAATTGAACCTTGTGATCCAACGTCGACTGATTTGTGCGTTGCGAATGGATATACGTCAAGTGTGTTTTATCGCGGAACGTAGGTCGATAGGCAGATACAGTCATTACAAATGGAGCAACTGATAACACTCGCGCCCCTGTGTTTCCGATTTTGGACTCCAGTTCTATATAACTTTGCTCTACTTTCGTGCTATCCTTCGTATCACGCAAAACCTCTAATTCACTCAAGATATACTGCAGTAGAGTGCTAAAATACTTGAACACACGACTCACTAAGGAGACAAAGATCCGTTTCAACGACTCTTTCCAACCAGGCCGACTGATAACAACGACCAAGAGACAGAGTTTGTAAGTTTAATCGCAGTTTGACGGACGTTGCCCCAATTTCGCGATGTTACGTGGTATTCTTGTTATACGAAATACGCCACGACGGAGATCGCCAAGAAGGCAGGATACCACTTCGATGGTACTTCGTCAAAACTCGTCAAATGGGAAACGAGCCCGTTACAGGAGCGTTGGAAATTATTCGATGGGATTTCAAGCTGCTTCAGCTGCTCGGGTAACCTCCATAGAAGCCATATTCTGAAAATTGAAAACATTTCACGAGCGAATGGATAACGAAACGATGAACAGAGTGCACTCGGATTATCGAGAAGTCGCTTGACCAGAGTTGGCCAGTACTAAATGGAAATCGGTCATTAGATTTTTTTCCACTTGCCGCAGAAAAATGCGTATGTACGGAAATCCGATGTGAAATTTTTCAGCGATTTTCATTGTTAGTATCATGGAGTTACATGGTTTACAAAGTGAGCCTCTCGTAGTAGCACTTAGAAGCGTGCTCCGGCAGCTAAGCCCATCTCTGTTGCTGCAACTGTGTCAAACATTATGCAGGCAAGCAAAAGCCACTTGAAATGCAAATATTTGCAGCGGGCGTAATTAAAGCCCTTGTAGGTTTCAGTTGTTGGATTGGCACCCGTTGTTGGGAAAAATATTGTCTTTCGCATAAGAAATTTCTTTACAAGGTTTCTCTGTGAATTTTTGCAAATCATCGACGAGATAAACTTAAGAGTGCCGAAGAATTTTATTCCTTCGTGTGTATTATCGATATTTTCAAAGATACAATGGAAGGACCTGTGAATATTTAGTGCCTTTCGTATATTTATAAATAAAATAAAACAATATTGTACTAATATTCTTAGAACGATATTATTGTTAGGAAGTAAATGTAAAGGGATCCGCGGACACATTCAACGAAAAACATCCTATAAGACAATAAGGACATAGAATATTGTAACAGAATTCTATTTCCATGGTGCATATCGATTTTCGTGGATTGGAAAATTGCGAGGAGGTTTGAAATAACGAGTACATGCCGTTATTGGATCGCTGTTATGGTTGCCTGGAAAAAGTACCGGTTTTTATACTCGAAGGTCCATTGAAAGGGACTTTTCCCTGATATTTGCTGAATCGCTGGCAAATTTAACGAGACACATTCTGTAGATTATACGAAAGGGAGCGCAGGATTTTGAGATATCAAACATTTTAAAAACGTTGTTATTTTTAAATCATTTGTAAATCGATAAAATCACGTTATTCGCAGAATCTTCCATTTATAACTACAAAGCAGCAATTAAAAATTGTTATATCACGAACAATGAAGATATAAATGTCAATGGAAGACAATAACACATAGATTGTATAACATTGCAATATGTGTTTTACGTTGTAAAGGATTCTTTTGTATTTTATTCCGTGCGATAAAAAGTATTGTTTCAGTGGTTACAAAGTATCGAATTCGTCAGTGCAATCGAATGTTATTTACGAACGATTGCGTCTGCTGGTATAAATATTATATCTACGCATACACGAGAGCAAGATCTCTTTCTGGGCGAAACATGCGCGTGCTTTTTTGCGGTACGCTGGCAGAACGTAGTTTAAAATGGTTCGAAACGTGATCTCGAGCGAACATGTTTGACCATTTGTCGAGAAAATTGGAATTCCTTTGGCAGAGAACGCGTGGCGATACAAGTGAAATAAAACGTTACAATAATTTGCAATTTAATCAAATAAAGAAAAGCATTATCGCCGATGTTCATTCTCTTTCATCGTTTGGTTAATTTTACGCTTGAATACTAGAGGGAACGAAACTTTCAGTTCCACTTAAAAATCAACGATTATTTCTCCGCCTTAAAATTACCCATATAATTCTTCAAACCAAATTGATCCATCTCGGAACAAGAAATTGCATTAGTATCTCATCCTATCTGCCCTAGCAATTTTCTGTGAAACCAGAGGAAGAATCTTTCGTCATCTATCTTGACGCGATGCAAGCTATCTTTGCAGGCCGACTTGGCCTGACCTGTTTTAATTTTCAATTTCCACGGGAACAGGAAGCAACAACCACTTGGCTCGATAGCCAACCTTCAACTCCAGAGAACCATCTCGTCTCGACAATTATTTTCGAAGTGGTTACGGATTGCTGCGATTAAGTCGATTAAATATTAGTAACGCGAATTGATCGTGATCTTCGTTCGATTTCCAACATCGCGTCAATCGGGAGAAAACCGGCATTGATTTTCTTTCCGCCTTCCGGTTAGACCGGAGGTGTTTATCCGGTAACCAAGGGTAGGAAATTCGTGACGAGTTGGGGAGAACGAGCGGAGCAACACCGGAGAGACATTTCCATCACAAAAACGGCCGCTTTCGGTGGATCAAACCGGGAGGACGCCACTCGAATATGTATGGGGCCGAAAGGGGCCATCGGTACTCGACAGCCCTCGTTCGGGATATTCATCAGGAGTCCAGAACTTCCGTTTCCGCGAGTTCAGGTGCTGGATCAATTCATCGAGTGGAGATGAAGGGGTTTATGGAGATGAAGGAAGTTAAAATTAAGATGATTGCTCGCTGGGATTTTTGCGAAAGAAGCGGATGTGCAATTTCTTGAACGATAATCTTGAGTTTAATATTCTAGAAGATTTAAATCAAACAATTTAGGGGGAAATTTTAATCGTCTAATCTGTTGAGCTTTCGACATTGAGAAATCAGATGGAAGAACAATTATCGAGCCGGCGATTGTGCAATTATTTTAATTCGTCGACGTTCGCAATGATGACAATTGGATGTAATTTTTACAAAAGGGAGGGGAATTGAGAAGTGAAATTGGAAAAGGATTCTTAGTAATTGTGAAATTATTTTTATTCACTTATTATTGATTATTGATTATTCGCTGTTGGCTGGGATTTTTACGAAAGAAGAGGATTTCACATTTTTTAAACAGTAATCTTGAATATAATATTCTACAAAGTGTAGAATAAATATTTGAGGAATCGGTAATAAATTACAAGATTCTTACACGTTGGATTTCCAATGGAGAGAAATTGAAACAGAAAAATTCTTGATAATTGTTGAAATTCGTTAATGCTTATGGCGATTCATTTTTTAATATCGCTTCTTACGACTTCCGCAAACAATCGTACAAACGAGATAGAAATTCCAGTGTTGTCTGCCATTCCGCGTAATAGGATAAAGTCAAAAGAACTCATAGCATGGAATTGTTTTTCTACTTACCATTGTGCTCAATTCGATAAGTAGGGCATTGGAACAACATCGCAATGAACGGGCGCGGTGTTTCAGGACCTACTTAGAGAATTCTTTAAATTAAATTTTCTCGGTGCACCACTTCCAACGTTTACGTAATTTTCATTTCTTTCCAATAACAATCACGCGTATACATTACAGAATATCTGTTCCCGTTAATCAACGTTTTCCAAGCAGTTGGTTAAACACGAAAACGCAAGCGCGCGGAATAACGCTCTCGAAAATATATAGACGCAGTTAAAGGATTTTCCAACGTGATGCGCTCTAATTCCTTCCTACGTTCGAATTGAAATCAGCGAATTATTTCGAATCATTCTGAAAACTTGAAGAGGAATCTTTGCGTCCACGATCGTCGGCGAATCTCTCTCTTATTCCACTTTGAAAAAGTTTGGGATAAAAACATGGCGTTACGAGGACAAGCGTAAACATTTTTGAAAAAGGATTTTTGAAAGGAAACCGAGAACGATTTATCAAAAGATCGGATTACCTCAGGGGAACGTGTTACTTGTGCTACAAAACGTTCGAATTCCGTTCAGAACATTTCTGTATGGTCATCAAGGATGGAATATCGTGGTCGTGAAGGAGAAAAAGGCATGAGTTATGTGGGATTGCCGTGACCCTCTTGAAATCGTAACGCCGAATCAATGGTCCTTCGTTTGGTTGGCCAAGTTTTTCTTTTCTCCCCCCCTCCCCCCTCCTCACCGCCTTGGGATTTTTGTTGTGACTCGAATAAAATTGGAAGGATGGATGACGTATAACCGAATATAACTGCGAAAATCCGCTGACTGTCCAAGGAAAAGGTAACAAACAAAAAAGTTCCTTTCGATAGAATGATTTTATCCATGTATCAACCGTGAATGTCGAGAATCATTAAATTGCTCGAAACTTCAGGGACAATTTCACTTCGTTTTAAAGATATATATATGCGTGTGTGACATGTTTATATGTCTTTTGGTATCTTTGGAAGTTGACAAAATTTAAGAAGCATGTGAGAAGACAAAATGGAAAGAAAATTCGAGATTTCTGTAAGAGTAGAAGTTTCTATGGTGTGCAGTTATGTTGCTACGTCGGGTCCTGGAAGTTAACGTGACCGTCGTGCGAAATCCCAGTATGACCATCGAGAGAACGACAATAACCTTGAGAAACGAACATTTCCCAGACATTACCGATCTCTTCATCGATGTATCGTACTATTTTCTATCTTCTAATACCCAGTGGAACGTTGGAATACCTTCGATACCATCCGTGATTTAATATATTTGATACTTTATAGTTTTTTTATAGTATTGCACAATACTGCTTCTTTTTCCTATTCGGTATAAAATAATACTCACGTTTCGATGTTGAAGTTATACACTGGTTACACGAAAGTTTAAACACTTATCATAGAAATATTTCATATATATAATTGTATGTGTTGTATAAAATATTTTGAAATATCGTTAGCACCGTGGTGAGACATAACTATCGTGATTGTATTGGTCAGATTTAAAACCAGTCTGAAAATGTATGTAAAAGTTACAAAATATTTATAAGATATTGCAAACATATATCTATTGTTAGTAAAAAATGCTTAAAAAATCTTAGACATGTGATATGATCTATAAGGTTTTGATTTTATTTTATTTATCTACCATTCTATTCTTGTATCTTATTAAATTTTTTGATAAGTTTCTTTTTATTATATATTTGTATTTTATATTCATAAAATGAGAATATACAAGTGTTCGAATATTTTTGTAAGTCAGTTTTGTTTGTTAATATGACATATTCTTGAACGTATTCAAAGAATCAAGGCTCTATCTGTATTTTCGGTGTTTGAATTATTTAAACTGACCATGAATGTTATCGACATGATCGTTTTCGGAGGTATTCCAGCATCCTCGGTTGTTTCACGTTCACAGCTGATTGAAGGCAATTTAATTTAATGCGCATTCAATATTTAATCCACTTAATATTAATCGTGATAGAGCTCTCGCCGCTTTCATTATACCTTTCAACCGTTTCATAAATGGAAAATTTCTCATCTACAACGGAACCGGTGTCGATTTATCTCAACGTTACAGTCGAATGCACGCACAAAAATATTGAAAAATGAAGGAACATCGTTTCCAACTCTTTGGTACACGATACAAAAGCTTTTCGACTGTGAAAAACAGATTCCTCTTTTATTTCCCATCATTTCAAATTTTGCGCAATAATTGATTTATTATATTCAAACCTAACTTTATGAACTTCTCACTGGTTCATAAAAATGTTTGATTTTATAAAAATATTTTCTGAATATATCATACGTATTATATAAAACATTTGGAAATTTCATTAGCACTTCAACGATTGTCATGACCATATTGGCAAAATCCGGAATCGAATCTGAAGATTTGTATAGCATAAATATACAGGATATTCATTGCAAGTATACACTTCTCCAAAATCAACAAAGATTATACTCGTAAACCACAGTATTTCGTGAGAAGTTTCAACATTAATTATATGTTTGTCTAATTTCTTACTAAGTGCACGTTTGTAATAAATGCTTGTAACTTTTAGATGTTACGTTCTTGGATTTGTTTCAAACTTTACCGATATAATCATGTGTCTGGGTTAAGGTGCTGATGAAATTCCAAAAAGTTTCGTATAACATTCGCTATATTATATTCGTCTTTAAAATTTTCAATGATATGTGTTCGAATCCTCTTGTGGGGCATTGTGTGTTAATATCAATATTGAAAGGTAAATGGAATTGATAGAAAGGCGAGTTTGGTCAGTCGTGGAATTGGTTTTTAAATAGAAGATTTACGATAGCTTGTCTCTGTAATTCGTATAATAATAATTTGCATCGAACGTCGTTGACAGCAAAAAATTCGACAGAAATATGTTCGCGAGTCGTATAAACGTTAATAAATTTTCATTTGAATCGGTCACGTGCATCACGATATTCGCACAGGTCGAGACAATCTGCGACGAGCAACCGTTCAGAATTTATTGCCGGATCTCCGAGCGGGACTACGTGCCCGTGTACAACTTTATCAGCTTTAAAGGCGGCTTCGAGCTGATATGCAGTCCAAAGTAAACATAATGCTTCGCGATTATAATCAACTTGTTGGATTCGAGTATCCCCGTTCCACGAAAAATCGCCATACGTTTGGCGATTTTGTCGAACTATTCGGAAAGTTCGTAGAGAAATGTAACAAAAATTCGAACTTCATGTATTTTGATAGATCAATCATTCTGTGGAACAATATATGCACCGTTTTTCTTTTCTTTTTTACTCACATGATTTCTCTCTTTGGAAAACGATCGGAATTTTTCATAAAATTTATTAGGGACTGAAACAAATAATACTGGAATTACATTTGTTAAAGTGGACATAGAATTGATATATTCTCCACGCCTGTCGTTGCCTCAAGCAAATCATTGTTACGTATTGTGATATTATTTTGTTTTTTCTTGTTCGACTGCCGGGTGATTCCGGTGCATAAGAGCGAAGTGTGAAGCCCATAACAATGATAGCGTACAAAGTATTCCCTTTTACTTGCTAAATTACAACAATATTATATGACGAATATAACGGAGGAATACGACATGTTACATTTTTCATTTATTACGGAAAAAGTAAGTTTAAAGTTCAGCCGTCAATCAATCTGAAGTTACCAATATTATTTTTCTATTTTGTGTTAATGCTAAGTACATGTTTTTCTATCCTCTTCATAATTTTAAAAATATTTGTCACGATACCTTAATACCCTCTCCTAATAATTATACTTTTGTTTTTGTATAAAATTTTAGCTGCTATTAGCTACTAATCATGAGGTGGAATGGTGTGATAGGTACTGAAGTACACTCGGTGATGCTTAACCAATAACGTTTATTAAACAAATAACAACAACTGACAGTCTGCAATTAACATCGGCTGATTGTTAACGTCGATACGCAATATCGTCGTTCGGTCGGTTTCTCGGTAAAAACGTGGCCGTTTCTTTCGCCTTTCTCGTCGCACGGTTCGGGGTCGAATGTGCTTATTTTTTTGACCGAACTGACTCTTTCCGTTGCCCATCGGTATCCCCCCTGGCGTGCGTTTGTTCCAGTGCCTTCGGGGCTGTCGCCTGCATGCCCTTCGGAGAAATTCGGCTGGAGGAGCGTGAGGATACCGATGACAGATTGAGTGCGTCGTGTCACGTTTTGTGTCGCGGAGCCGTTAGAAAGTTCCATAGTCCTTGTCGCCACAATCATATTAAAATAAAGTTTTTTAAACAAAAGGTTAAAATAAGAGAATGGGAAAAAATGAACCTATAAAATTTTCTCCAGTGATTTTCATATGTGAGATATTAATTTATTGTTAACTTTTTTTAGTTTCCATTATTCTTGACAAGTTCCAAATAAATTTTCATTTGTTTAATCTCACGATATACGCAAAAAAATATATTGATTACGAACTTTCCGAACAACCTAATTTTTTCTTTGAACCAATACTGCTAATACCAAATAAAATGAGGCTCGTAAAAGGTTGATGATTTGATTAACGTGAAATATTTTTCTGTAGACTTTATGTGGTCGTAGACGAACCAGTTCTCGACACTCCGTCGACTAGGAGCGGAAGTAGAGATTCGATACGAAAAAGCAGTTATTTCGGGGAAATTAGTAGCAGAGGTAGCGAAGAATTTAAGGTCAAATCTGATGTACCGTCGACATTGATGTTGTCCGATATTGAGATACTGCAGGTATATAAAACGCTTATGTTAGAAAATTGGAGAGTTTATATGGAGTTTTATACACAATGAAATAATCAAACATCGCAAAGTAAGAGTAATGGAGCTACTCGTGAAAAATAATCAAATTTATTGGGTTTTAGTGCGCTCTATCTATCTTAAAAGAGTGTGACGATGATCCTGGTGTATCTTTTCGTTATTTATTCGTGAATACACCTCCGTTACACGGACGTGAATTAAAAGACACGGACAGACAAGTGAAGGTTTTGGTGAAGGGTAAGTTATTGAAAGATGATTACAAAATGTTAGTATAATTATTCATTTCAATTACACTCTCGATCATTTGATATTATTAATTTTAATTAAATATCTATTGTAATACAGAATCTGATATTTATCAAACAGGTTAATTCCACGACAAATTTTTAATTTTATGAAAGATTTATTTCATATCACTAGCTGTACTTTGGACATCAAAGAATGAAAATATAATAACGTAGATTCATAAACAGCAAAGAGATTGTAAAGTCACCTGTATTTCTTCTGCTTTCTTAGTTATTTCTTTATAAACTTCCTCGAGATGAACAGCTTTGTCATTATTGGTTTTAAATTTCTATTATCTTTCGTACGTAGCTTCCAACAGCAAATGCTCGATCTCCTATTCATATTTCCATTAGATTTTCACGTGGAAACGAAGTTCGATAAAAACTCGTTCACCGCGAGCGAAATCCAAGTTTCGGGTAAAAGTTTCTTAATTTGATTACCACATTCGAAACGAAAAGTGTCTGGTTACCATTATTCAGCAACACCCATTCGAACATATCGAATTGTGGCTATGGTGCACGTACGCAATTGAGACTCCGCAATCAGCCAGAAGTGGCCAATCGTTTTTCCAGCAAGTGCCATTTTTCCAGCTGTAGCAATTACCGGCTAATGCATCCCGCTAGTGCACTCACTAAAGCACATTCATCAGAAAAAAGGAGGAAGGGGGGAAGTAAAATAAAAAAAAAAAGAAGAAGAAAAGAGTAAAAGTGAAAATCGATGAGAGGACGAAGGGAAAGATAATAAAGAAGAAAAAGAAGGACGCGATGAGGAAGCTACACAAATTGAGAGACATAGGTTCAGTGGCCACGTACAGTTGGAGTTTCGTATTTACAGAAGTTTAATTGAGTTTACTTACATGATTAATTGTGGATTGTGACATCATCACGAGCCAGAACTCGATGTCGGGTTAATTATTTGCCTTTCATTGTGCGCTCTACTTCGCGAAAGGTTCTACCAAAGCATTCTTGTTGCTCTGAACTCGAGCCCTAGATCGTTCCAAGTGCTTTACTTTCGTGCCGTAGAGGGAATTGAAGATTTTTGTTGCGCCGTCCTTCGAGGTCGGCCCGCGTTCCTTGTATTTGCTTTCGTTTGATTTCGTTGCTTTGGTCGAGGCGATATTCACGTTTCTGTGAATGAGACGTACATTTCTTAGCCTTTCTGAGGTCGTGTAACTCGTAAATAGGGGGTGGAAGGAATTAATGGAATAATGCTGTATTTAAACTAGTTTTGACAGGTGTCTTTGAATACATTCTTCTTACCTGAAAACAGAAAACTAAAATTCTCTTGTATTTTTTATATAGCATCCTATATTATTTTCTTACGTTCTTAAACTAGATGAAAAAGTTAGTTAAAAAGTACATCATACAGTCTAAAGAAATAAAAAGAAAAAGAATCTCGATCGTGACAATCAATTCGTGTTGTGTCTATTAGAATAAAGTAGAGTATATGTTATTCAAATTAATCGCAGCACATGTTGTTCGGATAATTAAATTTTTGCATAATTTTTTGTATATTAAAACAATTTCGTCTAAAAGGGAAAATTATTTTGTGTGATGTAAGTATTTCTTCCAGTTCCCCTTTTTATTTACTAATTTTTCTTATAAGCGACCATCTTCAGACAAGAGACACACCTTTCATTAATCAAAAATCTATTAAATTATTAGTTTCCAAAAATCTATTAAATTAATCGACTAATTAATTTCCAATAACCTATTAACTTAATCGATGTTCTAATAATCAAAGTTCTATCGTATTAACACCGGAAGAAGATAATTAATACCCCCATTGCATCCTCCTCGTTTCCTTTGTAGTTTAATTTTATCGTTGACAGTCCTTCTTCTCACTAAAATCGGAAATTCAAATGAAATATTTTACACCTTATAGGACGAAAAGCCCATAATATTCTCGAAATTCCAGTTTATGATTTCCTACTATTACGGACGAAGAAAACTGGCAGACGCTGAATTATTAAAATTTGATCTGTCTGTGGAAGTTGGTTTAATTATGTATTATATGTACATATATGTATATTATGTATACGTATATAATAAACCGGAGCAAGTTTATGGGGGATCCGTGTAACGAGGTGAATCTCGGTCTGGCCGAGATCAGTCGATCTCTCGTAAAGGAATTTTACTATCGGTTTCTACCCAAAGACGTGCGATGGATTATCCTGCGTTTTCTTATCGGTACTCTTGGCCGCTTATCGCGGCAGGAGCCAACGTACGGAGGCTCCATTTTAGTAACGATCCGTTTGTTCGCCTAGGTTTCCCACGGCCCAAAGCGAAGCCTTCTCACGAACCGTTTCCGGAAGTGAGGAACATACTCTCTCAGGCCACCAGCAAGGGCTCGAAGAAAAGAAGAACGTAAAATTGTGTCGAGTTTTTCTATATCTTTCATTTAATTTCCAATCTTTCGATTTCAATGCGAATAGTTAACGAAGTCGATAAATTCACTATCTGCGTGAATAAGCTAAAAGTGTAATGTGATATTGTTGTAAAAATATTTTGTATAAAGCTTGGTATATAAAATAGGAAATTTAAATTCCTTTCTGGAATCAGTTTGGTCCAAGATTTCGGATAATTTTGATCAAGCGGTGGAATAATTAACGAAAGCTGGATAAGTGCAACGTTATTAGGAAACGTAAATAAAATAAGTTGCATTTTATTTTGCCAAGGTACGGAAATATAGTGAAATAGTAAATGCTTTACAGAGGTGCATTATAATCTAAGAATAGATTGGAATAATATAAATTAGAAATGAAACGTTGCGTTAACACAACATTGGATTTCAATAAACGTATACACAGGAGAGAACGATATAGATGACCCAAAATGATTTCATTGTCCAGAAAGCAGTCTCGTCACGGAGATGAATTTAAGACAGACTTCAAAAATGTATGTGATGATTCTTATATGAGCCAGCACATGAGCGTGTTGCTACACTCGCGTCGCTCTAATGATCATTAAGGAGCCTGAGAATGGTCGACAGGTCGTACAAGTACCGAAACTTTGCTAAAGTATTTTCTGCTTTTTTCTTGTCTTTTATTTTTTAAGAGGCATCCCATGAAGTTTCTTCGATCCTTCTATTTTCTCGCGCGTGTGTTTCTTTTCAAATTGACGCGATTTCGCGTCCACATTTTAGGATATGGTAAAGTGTGTATTTGAAAAAATAATTCGACTAACACTACAGTGATGTTATTTGAATCAGAAACGATATATTGTAGTATGTAAGAACTAACAAAATTGCATTGCTGAAGTATGGCAATTACAACTAAGAGTATTAACTGTATTTGTTCCTTTAAGAGAGTTAAATTAAAGAAGTTAAAAATTGTTCATAACCGAATTTAGTGAATTGCAAGACAAATTACTTACCTTCACTAAAATACCCTTCTGGCCCAAATAACTCTACCTCAACCTAGCATACTTTGACTTTTTCATAAAGATACTCCCATTTTATCTCTTCGTCAAACCAAGGAGCCTGTCTGCTTCGTGTGTCAAAGATGATTCATTCAAGTTTCAAAGCACGGATATCACCGCGCGTGTTGTATCATAGTTTCATCGCTCCTGTATGCAGGAACAAATTTTCAATCCAAAAAGATATCTAGTGAAAGAAAGAGGGTGAGAGAGAGAGAGAGAGAGAGAGAGAAAGAAAGGAAAATCCTTTTTCCGTTTAATCTTGTCTGCGAGAGGAACAAATAGCCGGTAACTTTCGCGCGGTGAATCGCTGGGAGAAAACCGGACGTGTTTTAAGTCTCTCGGTCGGATGGTTAAAAAATGTAAATCGCGTTTGGAGCGCAATTAAAAGTTCAAAGGTGGTAAACCCCTGTATCGTGTCAGGTTTTTTTCGCCAAGAGTAATCAAAGCTACGCGTGTCTACGGGATAAAAGAGAGGATGTACTTTGTTTTCGCGTTTAAGTTAGAAAAATGTGGCCTTTTAATATTAATCGTACGAAATCCCGCGCGATTCACTGAAACTCACCGCAAATGGAATAATCAGAAGTTTCGTTTCTCCGGAAATATTTTATCCCGTGAGATCTGTAGTTTTCGAAGCAGCGCTGTGATATAAAAAGATTATAAAATTCAAAGCGCCACGTGTGCTAAAACTCACATTAATTACCAATGCCTGTTAAACGCGGGCGCTTTTCAATTTTTAACATATTTTCATATAACGTGACGAGAATGGCAGTCACTACGCGATGTTGAAAAAGCGACCTTTGATGTGATAACTCGCTTCGAAAAATCGGAACCCGTCGTGAAAATTACAGGAAAATTTTCTCATTATTTACCCTTTAAACGCGTCGAACCTTGCGTGGTATTTCGCGCATCCCGTGCGCTCTGTACGTATGTGCACAGAACGTGATGCAGTGATTAGAGACGCAGCGTGACGTCAATGGGCCAAAGTGTCTGTCCTTGTTAGAGTAGCGGTTTCTGGAATGTTGCGTTCACGCGTTCGAATGCACCCGGGCCCGTTCTGGGTTTCGACGCGGTTTGGCAGGGAATTCGCTAGTCTGTGTCCTCTCGTCTTTCATGACGGCAGCAATTTAACGCGTGCACTTTGATCCCCACCGATGGCATGCGCGTTGCAACGGGATTACTCGTTTCGATGCGACAAATTCTCTGAATTTAGCCGAGAAAATAAACTGTCATTCGATGTACGCGATACGATAGAACTTTTCGGTTGCAGTAGCTATTTTTCTACAGCCGAAAAGCTCTTCGTTTGTTGAAAAGAATTCGATGGATATTTGCGTAACGTGAATTTGATTTGAAACCCATATGTTTCCTTGATTATACTGTAATACCTACCCTTTACGCCGTTTAGTCGAGCTCCAGTTTGCCAAGAGAAATTACGCTTAACTGATTTATCTTGCACGGAAAAGTCCTGTATCTGATAAGAATGGCCACTCTATGTAATTTCTCCCGGGACGCGCTATTTCCTGTTTATTGTGACCGTCTATGGGGACGCTGACGCGGTTATGGTGCCTCGATAAACGTTATACGGACTGTGCAAGGAAATTGATGGCATATAGGTATATTTAGATAGTAATGCCACAACTTTTCGGACGAGGGATCTTTATAGGAATTTTACTAGCTATCTATTATGTACAATCCAAGCTTTTTGCAAAAGTGGGAAAGATATTGTAATTAGGAATGGATACATAGAATTATTGATAATGCATATAAATTCCTATTGTGAGTTTTTGGTGCTAGGGAAACTTTATGAGGATTTTACTGACTATATTATTTACAAGTATGTTCGTGGCTGTGTTTCTTCTTGAAAACATAGAAATTACTTTAATGAGACATGAGTATTTAATACTATAAATAATGTATGTAGACTACAGTGTTAGGATTTTTGGTGCTATGTAATTACGATGCTGATAAACTTTTATAAGAATTTCATTAGTCAGTGATATATGAAAATAAGGCAAATGTTTTAATTTGAAATGCACCGATGGTGTACAGTAACAAACATATAAATTGCAACATTTTGTTTTCATAACCCACATAAAATATGTATTGCGAGTCCCTGAATTAATATCATTACATTGTGGAATGAGATATTGTTCAAAGAGACATTGAGATGATTGTTCAAAGTGAAAACAGTAAACAAAAGTAAACTTGAAATGTATGAACAACAATAATCACGTGAATTAAATAAATGAAATTATCAGAAGAATATGTATCAATTTATACATGTACTCGTCGCTGTAGATATTAATGCTGTTGATTTCTAAAATTAAAAGAATTGTATAAAAATTTGATTAGTCTGTGATATATTTATCGTTCTGGATATTTATAAACGTCAAGCAAATATTAATAATTAGAAATGAGTATCAAATATATATATGAATACCAATACTTAATTATTGTTAATTAATCCAATTTATCGAGGATTTTACTGGTCGATAATATATTTGTATTTCTGGTTATTTGTGAAATAAAAGTTCGACAGGGATTGTAATTAGAGAACAAAGTTGCGGAATGGCTGGGATTGAAATTCGGCGTTGAGAAATTCGTGGACCGTGAACATTTTGCCAGCCAATAACCGTTCGAGTTTTTCGCGAAATCGAACTGCGTAAATTGTGCAAATTGGACCAGTCGGAATTGGTCATTCAGAATGTCAGTCGTTGAACATAAAGGCTGACTCTTTCGCGATTGAAAGAGATTATTGCCTTCATCAAGAATTATTATCCCTTTGAACCGTCTCTCGTTTCTTATACGATAGATTTTGTAATTATTCTCCTTCATTGTCATCGCACTTTTAACAATCGAATTAATTCTATGGCTTCTCGTTAAATTTCATCTTTCCAATTTAAGCATTCCATATAACTTGATCCGATTTGAGAAAAAAACCAAATTCCCTTTAATTTAAAAAACGCCTGGAATTATTCCACGTTCAAAGATATTCTGAGAATATAACATTCTTGGTTTCTTAAACTTAGACTGTTATCTCACAATTTGCCAAATTCGCAGACAGAGTATTTTCAATGCAAATATTCCCATTGTAAATAGAGCAATGAAGAAATTATCGGCTGTTCAATTAGCCAAGCGCTTGACTCTATCTAGAACCACTTTCCTTCTCGTTCGTCTGATTCGATTTCACTTTGTTATCGCCTTTAATTCGATGGAGCAACGCGAACAGCCTCGCAATCGACGATACTTTCTCCATGTACACGCGTTGAATTCGTTGTTCGCAGTTGGCTGGTTCTTGGATTCGCCAGACAAACGTTGCACCATCGGAAAATATCAGGAGCACGTGCGATTGACTCGCTTGTATCGCCGTAGAACCGTACCACAGCTCCGTCAACAGTTGCTAGTGACATTTTTACAGGGAAAAGACCGCATTCTCGTTATTCGTTGCAACGTTCGCCATGATTTTTCGTTATCGTAGTGAATTTTTCGCTTCCTCGACGTTTCAACATCCGCCGGGATTACCAGAACGCATGATCCGCGTAAACGAACGTGGAATTTTACGCGTTACAATTTTCCACTGTCGCCAAGCGAATTTTTTCTCATGCAAATTTCAGTGTGCGTGTTTTCACGAATAGCTTATTTCGTGATGCACGATTGATAAAAGGTGAAACAATAAGTGCTATCTTTTGGCTTTTAGTTAATTTGTTTTTTAGTTAGCTTTTAAGATATAAGGCTCAAAAATTTACATATCGAATAAATTTACATAGAATGACGACTGTTTATCTGCCGGTTTGAAGCTAAACTAGGTTGCAGGTCTTTAAGCGTAAACTTCGCGGATTGTAAAATGCAACAGTGAGCCGAATACAAAAGGTGATATATCCCATAGTTTAAAAGTTTACAGCTGGGAAACGGCGATGAGTACGAAAGTACGTTGCTGCCGTTATGAAATGCACCGGTAGGTTGAATAATCCGGTACTTTTAGTTGGCACTGTACACTGACCGTGTTTTGCAAAACGAGGTGCAGTAAATTTTCATTGTTGTCCCGTTGCATACAGAACGAATGCATTGTGTAATTACAGTACGTTTTGTTAATACAAGACTTGCTATGGAGCCAATTTCGGTATATGTTTCGGTCGAACAATATTTTTGGGACGGCAAAATTCTACCAAATGATCCTGTTTGAAAATGTAATAAATAATAATGCACGACTCTGAAAAACTGTCGATTTCTCGATTCATTGAATTGTCTTCACATATCAAGCCAAAGTTATACAAATTTTAAATCTTTCCAATTACCAAAATTTGTCTTCTTCTCGAATATACATAGTGTAGATATAGTATATATATAGTATATTCATAGTGGCAGTAAATGGTATTACGCCAAATAATGGCAAGTAATAAATTAATATG